CGCCGCACGCAGGCGCAGACGCGCCGGCCGCCGCCGTGACGGCGAGGCGGCTGGTCTGCCTGCTCAGCCAGTGCGCACCGCGCCTCTTCCCCGCCGTGCGCGTGAGCGCCCTCGCGCGGCACCTCTCCCGCGCCGCCCGGCAGAGCACAAGACGCGCGCCTCCCCTCACGCCTCTCAGCGCGGGCGCGTCGTAGGCAGACGCTCCGCGTGTCGCACTCGTGCCTGCCTCGCTCGCAGCTGCAGCTCGAGCCGCACGCGGACGCGCCGCCCGCGATGCCACGTGCGCCGCCGCCCGCTCGGAGCCGCCGCCCGCCGCCTGCGGGACCCCGCCCGCCCGTCCCACCTCCGCCGCTGGCGACGGGTAGGCGCCAGGCTCGTGCCGTTGCGGCCTCTGGCGGCGGCCGAGGAGCCGCCGTCGCTCGCGTGGGTGCCGACGGCGAACGCCTCTCTCGAGGAGCGCGCCGCAGCGCTGCGCGCCCGTTTCGGCGCCTCCTTTGCTTGCGCGTGCGAGCGGTGCAGCTACGAGGCGAGGGGCGGCTCTGTGGGTGCTCCGCTGGTTGCGCTGGCGCGCGACGCGATGGAGGACGGGCGGCTCGCGGCGGCGACAGCGATGCTGCGAGCCCGCGTGTCTGCGTGTCGCACCGACGGCGACGCGTGGATGCTGCTGGGCACTGCCCTCCTCGGCAGCGAGAGGTGGACAGCGGCGCACGAGGCGTGGCGCGCCGGCGCGGAGCTGGCGCCGCACCACGCCCTGCTGGGCAGGCAGTGCCGCAAGGACCGCAGCTACCGCGCGGACGGGGTGGCAGCCGCGGCCGGCGGGGCGGAGGGGGCAGCGCCGTGCGAGGTGCACGCGCTGGCCGGCGGCGGGCCGGCGTGCAAGGTGGTGGTGAGCCGCTCGCCGCTCTTCTCGGCGGCCGAGTGCGAGCGCGCGGTTGCGGCCGCCGAGGCGCACGCTGCCAAGTCGGGCGGCTGGACGACGTCGCGCCACCGCGCCGTCCCAACCACCGACGTGCCGGTGCACGAGGTGCCGGAGCTGCTCCGCTGGTTCAACCACGCGATGGCGGGCCGGATCGCGCCGCTGCTCGCCGCGCAGTTCCGCGTGGCCGCCGCCGACATCCGCGTGCACGACGCGTTCCTCGTGCGCTACAGCGCGAGCGGCGGGCAGGCGCACCTCCCACTCCACACGGACGAGTCGGTGCTCAGCCTGACCGTCGTCCTGAACGACGAGTTCGAGGGCGGAGGCACTTTCTTCGCCGACCTCCGCCGCTCGCTCTCCCCGCCGGTCGGCCACCTCGTGGCGTTCCACGGGCGGGCGCTGCACGGCGGAGAGCCGATCGTGAGCGGCGTGCGCTACATCGTCGCGGCCTTCCTCTACGTGGCGGTCGAGGAGCCGGCGGCGGCGCCGCCGCTTCCGGAGCTCTTTGCCGGCTGCAAGCGGGCGCGGCGCGACCGCGGCGACGACGCGATGCCGGCCGGCGGCGGCGGCGGCGAGGCCGAGAACGTCGCGTCCTTCTGTTTTGGATTTTAAGTTAAGGAGTTAAACAAGGAGCAACACAAACCCAATGGAGAAAGAAAACAGAGAAAGATGGATGGGAGGACGGCACGCCGCTAAAAAGAATTTTTCAGCGCGCTTTTGCCGCGAAGGGCAGCTCGGCGAGTTACCGGCCGATCGCCGTTCGCACCCATGGTGCAGTTCACCTACCGAGACCTCGTGATCTCGCTGCCATCCGGCGTCAACGCCACCGTCACCGACGAGGGCGTGCTCGAGATACGGGGCCTCTCTCGGGCCGCTCCGATCCGGATGAAGCCGTGCGACGACGAAAGAGTGATCAGCTCTTCATGCACTCCCAGCGAGCGTCCGTTGCCGGCAAGCGGCACCCTGCACAAGCGCGCGCGCACAACCGCACCTTTGGGCTGCGGTAGCGTGCCGCTCTCGAGCGTCGACGGCGGCGACATGGACGAGAGTGCGTCCTGTGGAGAGGCGGTGGCGCCGCCCGTCTACCCCAACGGCGGCTGCAGCGACAGCGACGAGGAGTGCGGAGGCGGCGAGCAGGCACACGACGGGTGCCCCTCCGATGACGACGAGCACCCCGCGGCGGTGACCAGCCAGGGGCTGTGGAATGCGGCCAAGGCGGTGTTGGACGAAGGTGCGGAGAAGGCCGAGGTGCCGCCTCCGGTGCTCCCGCCGACGGCCTCGTTGCACGCCTTCCCCTTCCCTCCCGAGGCACCGCTGCGGCGGTGGGAGTGGCGCCCGGTGGAGACGACCGGCCCAACGCCGCCCGCCCGCTGGGCGCACTGCGCCGCTGCTCTCGGAGGCAAGATGCTCGTGTACGGCGGCGAGGCCCTCTCCGCAGCGGGCGCCGACGGCCCGCCGCAGCTGAGCGACCTGCACGCGTTTGACGCCGCCAGCGGCGAGTGGAGGCGCTGCCAGGACGCGCCGCACGGCCGCGCGTGGCACACGGGTACCGTGGTGCGCGGCTCGCTCGACGGCTCGTCGGACATCTTCCTTGTCTTCGGTGGCGAGGCGGCGCGGCAGGCGGGCGGAGCCAAGGGCAAGGCCGCGGCGGGAGGCAAGCCGCAGTCGCTCTCCTCGATGCTCTCGTACGACCCGGAGTTTGAGGCGCACAGGGCTTGGGAGGGCCCGGCCCTCGCCCCGTGTGAGGTGGTGTCACCTCGCCTTGCAACCTCGTCTCCCACTCCGCCTAGGTCTGGTACGAGGCGGTGGACCGAGGCCACAGGCCCTCCGCCCGGTCCGGCCACGCCGCCTGGCCTGCACTAGCAAAAACGATCGCCTCGCGGCTTCCTCGTTTTGGGGGGGGTTTTTTCCCAATTCTTTTGCGACCGTTTTCTTTCGACCCTGGGGCGGGGAAAAGCCACTGGG